CCAGGTTGTGGGCTCGCTCCCCAGTGGGGGGCGTGCAGGAGGCAGCCGATCGATGATTCCCACTCATCAGTGATGTTTCTATCTCTTCCAATCCCTTCCTCTCTGAAGTCAATAAAAATATATTTAAAAAATAAAATGCTGTAGTCTTGCCTGGGGCTTTTTTCTGTGCATTTACCCAACATATTTCAGTGACCACCTGGGAAGTGAAGCTCTCATGACTTCCCACGGGCAGGGGGCGAGAACCCCAGCTCCGACTCATAAGGGGATGGAAATTCGGATGCGGGCTACAGGGGCCATCTGGCCTGCACTCAGCGAGAGAGCGATGGCATCTTCAGGTGGAACGGGAGCTTCCAGGAGCCGAGGCCGGGAAGGGACACACCACGCTGACCCCAGCCCTGCCCCAAGCCCTCTGCCAGCTCAAGTCACTCCCAGCCTCTGGTGTGGGTGGCTCACCCCGCCCTCTTTCAGCCTGGCCTGCCCGGGCCTGGCTCCTGGCTGCTCCTTGGGCATAGTTACCAAGATGCCCATGTCTTCCAGTCCAGCCCTGCTGCAGATGCCAGGAAAGGCTGCCGTCCACCCACACGCCTGCTCAGTGGCCCGAGTGCCCCAGGCTCAGGTGCCAGCGACAGAAGGACAAGTGATCGATTGTAAGGCTGTATCCGCGGGCCTCTCCCAGTGCCACCGAGGCGGGCAGCCGAGCGTGTGCCGCCCTTCCTGGCGGTTTGCATCTGCGTTAAAGAAGCCACCACTCTCATCCACTGTGACTAACATATCCCGAGCACGTATCAGCAGCCTGGCCTGACAGTAAGCCCACCGCGGGCTCTCACAACACAGAGGGTGTGGAATGTCTGGTTTCAAGGGGCGAATGATAATAAGCCAGACATGGCAGTGAATTAGCGGCTGTTTGTGGAGTGCCTGTGAGCACCGGCATTTCACTGGATGCTTGTAGACCACAGCTCAGCAGTCATGGGAGAGACCCCGATTCATGTCAGAGGCATCTCCACAGCCCCAGTCTGGCCTTGGAGGGCTCCCAGGAGGGTGGGGAGTTTGCTGCGCCCCCTCCCGCGGCGCAGTGTCTGTTATCAGCTCTCCACAGCACATGCCCAAGGGGTGTTTGCAGGGTACAGGAGCAGCTCGTGTTTGCTTTTGGTTATTACAAGTAGCATTTGATGTCTGGGGTCAGGGATGCTAATCGCCTGCAATGTGTTAGTCATCCCTCCCTCCCTCCCTCCCTCCCGAGAGCTTTCCCCTCGAAGCCCTGCAGAAAGCGAGACTACAGCTCTGGAACCACAGCAAAGGTTGAGGAGTCCTCACCCTCTGTCCTTCCCCAGGGAAACCCTTGGGGAGGGGCGGCGTGGGAGGGGCCACGGCCAGGGCAGCCGGGCCTCGGCCTTTGAGATGAAGCCTGGGTGGTCTGTCCTGATAAGTCCTGAGGACCATGCCTTTCGTTGCTGTGGTTACCTGGTCTTTGGAGGAGAAGGTAAGCAAGACTCAAAGTTTATAGTATTATGTGGCCTCTGTTTTTAACGGGACAGTCATATTACAATGTGTCTTTCAGAATAGTTTCTCTTTTTTATATATATTTTTTCATTGATTTCAGAGAGAAAGGGAGAGGGAGAGAGAGAGAGAGAGAGAGAGAGAAACATCAATGATGAGAGAGAATCATGGATCGGCTGCCTCCTGCACACCCCACAATGGGGACGGAGCCCGCAACCCAGGGGTGTGCCCTGACTGGGACTCAAACTGTGACCTCCTGGTTCACAGGTCGACGCTCAACCACTGAGCCACACCGGCTGGGCCAGAATAATTTTTCTTAACGACTGTGAACCAATAAAAACAGAGGAACATAAAGTGTGCAAGGGATGGTAGAGCGACCCACCGTGAAAGGCTCAGCAGAGGTTCGCCGCCGAGCGCCGGGCATCCCCAAGGCGGGCCGAGCCCTTCATCACCGCCGGCGTCGGGAGGAGCCTCCCACTGCCTGGCTACCCTTCTCCTCTCTACAGAACGGCTGTGGGACCGGGTCACGCAAGGTCACAGGCTCCACGTTAGTGTGGGACCAGCGAGACTCGCTACCCACAGCGGCTTGGCAGCATCTGCGGGGAGATTAGTGGCTTTGGCTGGAGACGGATGTCCACCGGAGCTGGCACGCCTCACTTCCTTGTCACCAGCCTCGCAGGGGGAAGCTGGCCTGGCCGGGCCTGTGGCTGCTCATTTCTGTTACTTTGAAGCACAACAACAGAACAAAAAACTGAGGCTTCAGCTCATTCCAATGCTAACAACCCACCTCTGACAACCACAGCGGCAGGAATCTGCTGGGCCCTGAAGCAGGCCCTGGGCGGGGCCTCAGGAACACTGACTCTCAGCCAGCTCCTCTGACCCCCTCCCCTCACCCAGACAGTCCCTCTGGCCCAAATGCAGGTGCGGGCTGCCTGGAACTCCCCAAAGCTCCAGATGTCCCCATCCTCTGGAAGGCAGCCCCCCTCCCCACTGCAGGCTGGTCCCCACTGCAGGGGAGTGTCCTAGTGTGGGGGGTGGGAGGCCATATCCTCTGACTCAAATCTAGCGACTGTCCCCACTCGGCCCCAACTTTAAAGGATGGCGACAGAAAGTTAACCAGGGGGGCGAGGACGGGGGCAAGAGAGTGGGTAAAGCCGGTATCCCACCTGTGCTGTTTGAAAACTTGGTCCCCAGTTCTTTGATACTCCTATCAAGAGGTGGGGTCTCACTCGGCCGGTTTGGCTCTGGATAGAGCGTTGGCCTGAGGACTGAAGGGTCCCAGGTTCAATTCCAGCCAAGGGCACATTCCCAGGTTGCTGGCTTGATCCCCAGGAGGGGGCGTGCAGGAGGCAGCTGATCCATGATTCTCTCTCATCATTGATGTTTCCTTTTTTTATATATATATATTTTTTTATTGATTTTTTTACAGAGAGGAAGGGAGAGGGACAGAGAGTTAGAACATCGATGAGAGAGAAACATCGATCAGCTGCCTCCTGCACACTCCCCACTGGGGATGCGCCCGCAACCAAGGCACATGCCCCTGACCAGAATCGAACCTGGGACCCCTGAGCCCGCAGGCCGACGCTCCATCCACCGGGCCAAACCGGCCAGGGCTCATCATTGAGGTTTCTGTCTCTCTATCTCTCTCCCTTCCTCTCTGAAATCAATATATTTTCTTTAAAAAGAGTTGGGGCCTCTGTCCTCTACTCTTGACCTTGAGCTCAGCAACTATCTAACCCAACGAGCGCAGTGGACACAGTGTAACATCAGTGAAGGGGTGCGGGGGGGGGGGGGGGGGAGGGGGGAAGGAGGGTGGTTGTGATGCAGCCCTAGACCAGCAGGCCTGGGGGAAGCCCAGGAAGCACGCGGACCTCCCCCGGCCACCTTCCCTCCCCCCCACCCCACCCCCAAGGCTGCCTGGAGCCTGCGTTTGCACGAGGCTGCGTCTGCACACTCACACAGATGCTCTTTTACAGACCAATAAAAATAGCATTTTCAAATAAAAACAGCTTTCCTGAATACCCTCTTATTCTTCTCTATATAAGAGGGAGAACACAGCGACTGTCCACATTATCAGAGGCTCTGGGAGGGCGTTGGCCGCACTGGGCTCACTTGTGGGCATTGCCCCATGGCTGGCGCGTCCAGTTTGGACCGGACAGAGGCAGGAGGCCAGGGCCTCACCATCCCGGCTCCTGCAGCGCCACCCAGTGGCACCCGGGCGGAACGTCACGCGTGCTCAGAAGGTGATTTTCCTGCCAAGCCACCCGCCCTGTGACAGCCACAGAGGAGCAGCCTGAGAAACAAGCCCTGGTTTTTACAGAAAGTGGAAACCTGGCCCACTTCCTTCCTGCAGGAGCAGCTCCCGAGGCTGTGGGACGGCCATCTCGTTGCAGGTTGGCCTGCACCGTCCATACTCAGTGGGGAGAGAGGGGCATATTTCAGCTCTCCTGGGGGGGATCACAGGCTTTGCTGCTCGGGGCACCGACCTGTTACAGAGGCCTCTCCTACAGGTGTTTCTCTTCATTTTAGAGAAAGTTGTTTCATGTCGCTGCGTCTGAATTTCCCTTCCCTGCAAGGTGGAGAGCAAGTGAGCTTGGGGCGTGTAACGAGCGACACCTTAAGGGGCCCGGGGCCTCCTGCCGGGGAAACAGCGTCCCGCGCTCCACGGAGGGACCTGGCCCTCCAGCGCAGGCGACCGAAGGGATCCGCACAGTGGGAGCTGTGTGACCAGTTCAATTTCTCAGGAAGGAATTCAGGAGAAACTACTGCAAAATAAAGGGTTCGCCAGCTTCAAAGATGAAAACTCCGTAACCAAGTTGCAAAGTAGAAGGCAGGCAGGGAGGGGGGGATCCGTCCCAGCACCACCTGCACCGCTGTTGTTCGGGGAAAGCGATTACAGGGCCCTCATGGGGACGCTGGGTCCATCGCCGTCCCCATATCTAAGGTCCAGAGAAGGCAGGGCTGGGAGAAGCAGGTCGTCTTCCACTGAAATCGGGGGAGCTGCCTGGGCCGGGTTGGGTGGGGGAGTTCGCTGCCCCTGAACATGTTGGTCCAATCACAGAACCGCAGGGCCATCTGCGGAAAAGCAATTATTTCTATGTCAGCATCACTCCATCCACATTACAATCTGATGATTCCTCTTCATCTGGTCATTTGAAACCATGTCAGAATGGCATTGAATTGATAAGCCCAGAGGTGACACTTAGAAAGAGAAACCTTCATGTAATTTAGTGGAAATGTCTATATATTGACATGAGCAGTGTTTATTTCGTAAAGAAATGGCACTTTCTCTCCTTTATATATATATATATATATATATATATATATATATATATATTTCACAGTATACTGTATATTCCGTGTCTTATTCACATGTCATATGTAACAGCAGGCTCTAGATCAGTGGTTCTCAACCTGTGGGTCGTGACCCCTTTGGGGGTCGAACGACCCTTTCACAGGGATCGCCTAAGACCATTGGAAAACACATATATAATTACATACTGTTTCTGTGATGAATCACTATGCTTTAATTATGTTCAGTTTGTAACAATGATATTGGGGGTCACCACAACATGAGGAACTGGATTAGAGGGTCGCCGCATTAGGAAGGTTGAGAACCACTGCTCTAGACGAAGAGACTGGCGAGGCTGTCACCAGTCATTGGGCCTCTTATTCCTCCTCCATCCATTCTCGTCGCCCGCACAGCGCCTGGTCTCCCGTGGATCCATGGGCGCAGGTGCGGCTGTAAAGCAGGGAGAGGTTTTTATTACTCTGGAGCCCCGTTCACCGTGGAGCCAGTGCCTACAGCCGCCTCACAACCGGCTGGTGATCAACCTGCTGGTGACAAAAGCTCTCAGATGAAACCGCCTCGTCTGCGAAGATCAGGGCAGCGAGATTCACAGTCTAATTGCCTTGCATCTTACAGCCCTTTTTACTTCCAGACACGCTGGGAACATTCGTTTTACAGCAACAATGAAACTCCGCATTGCACAATACAACCTGCCCTCCACGCACAGAGGCCCCTGCCTCGGGTCCGAGTCTCCCTCGCTCCCTCACTCCCCCAACCGCGGCAAACGCAGCCATTCGAAGGCCTGGGAGGCCTGGTCGCCGTCGTCCCTCAGGTTCCTCTGCCTTCGGAGTGTGGTCCTGAGAGAGACAGCGTGGGGGGCATGGCTTGGACGTACACGGGAGGATTCTGCAAAATTCTGACAAGCGAGCAGGCAGCCCGTGGGTTTACCCTCCTGCGCCAGCTGGGTGGGTGCAGACACATCTGTTTCGTTTGGTGAACATCTGGAGACAGGGGTCGGCTGCCGGGCCAGGAGACCACGCCCAAGCAGTATTTCTAGTTGCTCCTTTTCGGTGCTGTTTTTGCACAAACTCGCTGAACCCGGATCAGGAGGCTGTTCCTAATAGTGTATCTTCAGGATCGCGCCAGAGCACAGAGAGAGCAAGCTTCCCAGTCTGTCCCTCGAGGCCAATATCACTGTAACCTCGCAGAAGCGCCATTTCGTTGCTGTGACCCTGCCTCCTTTCTGCCCATCCACCCCCTTCCTTAATCATCAAGCCCTTCGGACATCGGGTTCTGGTCAGCATCACACTGTCTTAAGGACAAAGCCTCAGGAGTGTTGGCCACGCAGAGTTTCCGTCAAGCTACAGGTGGCATCTGGACTTCCGTTGTGTCCGCCCCAGGCCCATGAGAGCGAAAAGACCCTAGGGACCACCCCCTCACGAAACCAGACAGCACAACGCCATGGCTGACCTCAGGACCTGCTGCAGTGGTCAGCTGCCCTGGCCCCACCCGTCAGTAGAGCCCACGACCCCACCTCCTTCAGCCACCCCGATGAGTGACTCCCCTTCTGTACAGCCCTCCCCTGGACGCCGTCGGGGAGCCAGGCCTCTGAGCACGAGCTCACCTGTGAGTCTGGGTGGGCACCATCTCCTCAACAATAAACACTTATTTCTTGGCTGCAAACTCCTGTTTCCATTTGACTGGACTTCGATGTGTGCCGGGAATGAACCCCTTTAGTCCTGTAACATAACCCAGGTCCCAACATCTGACAAAAATCTTGACATGCCTTCACACACACAAGACCAATAAACATCGTTTACGATAGATGCACAAATTCTAAGTAAAATGCTAGCCAAAGGCGATGGAGCAGGAGTCAACACTGGTGCAAGGGTCCCAAGCCAAAGTCTCCTATGCACCCTCCCATGTAGAGTGCACCCTTCCATGTACGGGACACCCTCCCATGTACAGTGCACCCTCCCGTGTACAGTGCACCCTTCCATGTACGGTGCACCCTTCTGTATACAGTGCACCTTTCCATGTATAGTGCACCCTCCCGTGTACAGTGCACCCTCCCGTGTACAGTGCACCCTCCCGTGTATGGTGCACCCTTCCACATACAGTGCGCCCTGCATGCCCTCTGAGGCTGAAGTCCTAGGGTGGACAGGGAAGGGGGGGCTCACCTTGATCCAGGGGGATGATGGGGTTGCAGAGCTCCTTGACTGGGGTGAGCACCGGCTTCTTGACCCCCTCCCTACGCCTGTCCACGGGGGCAGGGGGAGAAGGCGGAAACATACATGCAGATCTACGCCAAATAAAAAGGCATGCCAAAGTGTTCTGAGTCTTCCCTAGCAGTTCTTCCCAGATTCATTTCCACGTTCCCCAGATCTGATGGATGCTAAAAGGCGTCCCAAAATTCACGCAAGAAGTAATTTTGATAGAAAACACAGGTTTATAATTAAAAATTGTAAATTTTTTATTGATTCATAAAGTATACAGTATAAGGTTATGTATGGAATAGAATATCAGGTAAATGGCCTCCATGGCTTTGCTGGCACATATGCAAATGGATTATGGAACAACAACAAGTGGATGCTGATTTTTCGAACAAAATCATCTTCAGCGATGAGGCTCATTTTCATCTTGATGGCTTGGTTAATCGACAAAATTGTCACATTTGGGGTTCAGAAAATCCACGAGTGATTTTTGAGAAACAAATGCATCCACAATGTGTCACTGTTTGGTGCGGATTTGGGGCTGGAGGCATCATCGGACCATTCTTCTTCGAAAATGCGGCTGCTCAGGCAATAACAGTTAATGGTGCTCGTTATCACGACATGATAATCCATTTACCCGATATGCTCTTCCATACATAACTCTATACTGTATACTTTATGAATCAATAAAAAATTTACAATTTTTAATTATAAACCTGTGTTTTCTATCAAAATTACCTCTTGCGTGAATTTTGGGGCACCTTTCGTTGTACTGACTCGTACTGGACGTCTCAGATGAGGTCCGGGTCGTGGTGGCTGCTGGTGGCAGGAACGGGCCTTGACGAAAGTGAGACTCACACCCTAGACTCTCAAGTTGGAAGACATATGTGAGAAATGAGAGTAGAGACTTGTAATATCACATATTACAACGTATGTTGTTTAAACGGCCATAGTAGTCGTGCAGTTGCAGGAATAAAAGGCGGAGACTTGCAACAGACGGGGGGGGGGGGGGGGGGGTGGCGTGGGAAGATGGAGGCAGAGACTAGCCGGATGGATGCAGGGGCTTAGCTGGCACCACCAGCAGCTGGCGGAGGTGAGCACAGCCCTGCACCTGCGTTCGGAGCCATTTACAGCCATGACCAGGCCCCGGGTGCCGGAGGGAGGGAGCAGCCACGGGAATGTGTGAGAACAGACCTGCAGGGGACAGCCTCCCACGCAGGAGAAGCGCTTTGCCTCGGTCATAAGCATGAAGCTAGCCTCAGCCATTCCAGTGTGTCGTCTGACAGTAGCCTCTCCCCCCTGAAGACAGAGCTTTGTGGAGTAAATTCTATGCCTTTCGTTCCTGGATAACATGGGTGAAGCTGTCCTTCTGGGTCACGCAGGGGCCACGCCTCAGACAGAATGCATGGCCTCTGCCTCTCCCTGGACCAGTGTTTCTCACAGTGCGATGCACACACCACCTGCAAGTCCAGTTTAAAGCCCAGACCCAGGGCCCACGCCCAGACTCGCTGACTCAGACCCCCCGTGGCCCAGGAATGTCACGGAGAGCATCCGCAGGCGGCTTCCACACACTTCGCCGACCCGTCTGCGACCTCCCTCCTCGCTCCCAGCACTTGACCTCGATCACATCGCGGCTCTATTGCTGTTGACTGAGCCTCCAACTTCCCATCTGGAAGGTAAGGCACAGTCTGACCTGCTGCTCGGTGTTTGTCTGAAATCCTGAGATCAGAGGAGCCAGATAAACACAGGGCTGCTATTTAGCAACCCTTTGCTGGCAAAGGGCCCCGTCAGCACTTTCTTTCGCGTCTGCGCCAAACCTGCCACAGCCAGGAGGGCCTGGGAGCTACAGACTTGATCACTTCCCTCTCATTCCACACGGATAGGCAGGTGGAAATGTCTGAAAGAGCTTCGGGGACATGTTCCCCCTCCTGGCAATATTCTCAGTCACATCTGCCGACTGCCCCAGGCCCAGTGGGCCCCGAGTGTATGAGCTACTTGAGTCTCCGAAGGTCTCACAGCCCAGCCTCTGAAGCCAGGGACTCCGTGCCACCACCCAGCCCCTCCGCGCCCGCCCGGGGCACAGGTGAGCTCTCCGAGACATAACTCAGACGCTGGGTGGTCAGCCCTTATCAGGGACGTGCTGTGCACACAGATCTGCAGGCCTTTGTGACTATATTCTTCCCCTGGCGGCAATGCCACTGAAACTGTGACAAGTCATAAAAAAGCACAAATCCTACCATGTTGGAGACAGAGAGTGGGGCACACAGCAGACTCGCAACTTGGACACTTTATGGCGGTGGAAGGGTCTGCACGCTGCGGGGGACCTGCCCTCGGAGATGTGGCCCAGGGACCGCCGAGCGCCCAGCTCTTCCCACCGGGGCGGGAGGTGAGGGGAGGTAGACCAAGGACGTGAAAAAATACAGATTTTCTGACAAAAGGGACACGTGCGCCTTGGAAAATTCTGTGGCTATTGAAATGCCTAAAGTGATAGTCTTTGCCTCCCACCCCACAATGTCGGAATACACCTCCTACCCCAATGTAATTGCTGCGAACAATTTCTGCATCTCTTTCCGTTAATTCTTTAAAACACATGCAAACACATACGTATTTATAGATTCTTTTAAAGATAAAATGGGATCACACAAAAGGCATGTTTTAAAATGTCGTTTTTGTTATTATTATGCAGGTTGGGGTGAGTAACAAGACCACATAAAGCCAACCCCTTTAGGACCCTCCCAGTCCCGAGGAGACCCCACCTTCACCAGCGAACTTCCGCCTAGGACCCTGCAGCCTCGGAGAAAGGAAGCCCAGGGCGCTCTGGCCCCATCTCTCCAAATTCCTGCGGAAGAGAGAGCTCTGCCCTTTCTGGCTCTATTCCTTGTCACTAGATGCTGCGACCAGTAGGTCCCTTTCCATCAAAGCCTTCTCCTGCGGGCAGTCACAGCAGCCCCGAGGGGACTGTCTCAAGGGCGTCGGAAAGGGTATTGAGGGCCTGACCTGAGAATTGCCCTGCGATTCCGGCCGGAGCCTCTTACCCGTGCCCTGAGCCCCAGAGTGAGGCTGCCCCCCGGTTCCCGAGGAGCAGGAGAGAAAAGGCGCCCTGTCTGGGCGGGAGGGCAGGCAGAAGGGGACTCCCCGGGCCTGGGACAAAGGGCTCTGGGGCCCGGCCCCAGGAGCAGGCTTGAGGCTTCACTGACTCCTGGGGTGGTGGTGGGGGGGCCTCAGGACCGGGCAGCAGACTTGAGTGCAGGCCCCTAGGAAGGCTTCGCTCTTCCCCTGCCTCTGCCCAGCTGAACGCAGCCGTGAGGAAGGCCAGGAGCGATGAGGCCAGCCTGTGCCTCAGGGGGCGCCTCTGGCCTGGTGTCCTGCACCTGCTGTTTGGCCCATCACACTCGCTGCCACAGAGGCAGTCATGAGTCCTCAGAGGCGGCCGAGTGGAGTATAACAGGTTGATGGAGCTGATAAGGAACTAAAGCCCGGGGCCCTCAGCACCTCCCTGGGTTCCCAGCCAGCCAGCGCGAAGGGATGCGAGTCCCGCTGACCCGGGAACTGACCTGTCCGTGCGCGGGTTCTATAGGCAGGAATGCGACCGCTCCCAGGGAAGCGCATCCGCATCTGAGGTTACTGAGGTCACTGCCCAGAGGAAGACGGCCTGCTACAGGGAGAGCTGACGTGCTCTCCTCCATGTCATCCTGGGCAGGAATAAATGGAAGAAGAGAGGTTATGTTTCCAGAGCGCTTTCATTTTTTGAAGAGTTCAATGCCAGAGCACTGGGCCTTATTGCTTTGCCATGTTTCCTTTATAAAAACTCCCTTTAACATGTCCAGACCCTGTGTGTCACTTCCAGAGACTCCAGGATGCCTTAGTACAGCGGTTCTCAACCTTCTGGCCCTTTAAATACAGTTGCTCATGTTGTGACCCAACCATAAAATTATTTTTGTTGCTACTTCATAACTGTCATGTTGCTACTGTTATGAATCGTCATGTAAATATCTGATATGCAGGATGGTCTTAGGCGACCCCTGTGAAAGGGTCGTTCGACCGCCAAAGGGGTCGCGACCCACAGGTTGAGAACCTCTGGCTTAGTAGAATGAAGCTCCTGCATGTGGCAGCCCCCAAGGAAGGGGACTCCGGGCGAGTCCCAGCAACCTGCTCCCTCCCGACTGGGCGCCGGGGGCTCCGCTGTGGCGTCCTCTGCACCAGGCGCTGGGCACAGGGACAGACGGGACACGTGAGGGGCCACTGTGACTCCACGCGGACAGGGTGCGCGGACAGGGTGCGCTGTGCGGGTTTGCACCCACCTCCCCGGGCTTTTCGGGCACTGTGGATTCCCGGCGTGGGCCAGCCACACTCCACCTCGCCCCGGGAGGGGAGGTTTCTTGTGTCTGACTCGGACTCGAAGCTGGCTGGCTGCTAACTCTTCTCTTCTGGCAGCCGGGGCTGGGGAAGAAGGGCCAGCCTGGGAGGGAGGGAGTGGCGGGCACTGCTCAGTGGCCTCCGGGTCCTCATGGCCCAGGGTTCCAAACGCGGAGGAAGCGCCTCAGGGATCCTGCGTCAGCAGGAGTGGAACTCCCTGAATCTGTGACGCCATAAGAAGACTGAAGTGATTCCCCAATGTTTTGAAAAAAATATTTTTATTGGTTTCAGAGAGGAAGGGAGATAGAAACATCAAAGATGAGAGAGAATCATTGATCGGCTGCCTCCTACACGCCCCACACTGGGGATCAAGCCCACAACCAGGGCATGTGCCCTGACCGGGAACCAAACCGTGACCTCCTGGTTCAGAGGTCGATGTTCAACCACTGAGCCACGCCGGCCGGGCTCCTGAATGGTTTTCTAATAGATGTGTTACAGCTCCCCTCTCTGAACCCATGACTAGGGCATTGTGACCTCTGACTTTCAGGACAACCAGCAGTGACGCTGGTCCAGAATGCTACCACACAGGCCACTAGGGCAGCCACAGTGTCCACTTTGAGCAGCGAGGCAGTCCCAGCACTGCCAGCTCCTTCTGTAATTCTAAGCTGAAGCCTTCCACCACTGCCCCCTCCATCACGTTTCCACCACTGCCCCCTCCACGTTTCCACACTGCCCCCTCCACCACGTGTTTCCACACTGTCCCCTCCACCACGTGTTTCCACACTGTCCCCTCCACCACGTTTCCACACTGCCCCCTCCACCACGTGTTTCCACACTGTCCCCTCCACCACGTGTTTCCACACTGTCCCCTCCACCACGTGTTTCCACACTGTCCCCTCCACCACGTTTCCACACTGCCCCCTCCACCACATTTCCACCACGGCCCCCTCCACGTTTCCACACTGCCCCCTCCACCACGTTTCCACACTGCCCCCTCCACCACGTTTCCACACTGCCCCCTCCACCACGTTTCCACACTGCCCCCTCCTCCACGTTTCCACACTGCCCCCTCCACCACGTGTTTCCACCACTGCCCCCTCCACCACGTTTCCACACTGCCCCCTCCACCACGTTTCCACACTGCCCCCTCCACCACGTGTTTCCACCACTGCCCCCTCCACCACGTTTCCACACTGCCCCCTCCACCACGTTTCCACACTGCCCCCTCCACGTTTCCACCACTGCCCCCTCCACCACGTTTCCACCACTGCCCCCTCCACCACGTTTCCACACTGCCCCCTCCACCACGTTTCCACACTGCCCCCTCCACCACGTTTCCCACTGCCCCCTCCACCACGTTTCCACCACTGCCCCCTCCACGTTTCCACCACTGCCCACTGCCGTGTCCCACCACTGTCCGCTCCACCACATTTCCACACTGCCCCCTCCGCCACGTTTCCACACTGCCCCCTCCGCCACGTTTCCACACTGTCCCCTCCACCACGTTTCCACACTGCCCCCTCCACCACGTTTCCACACTGCCCCCCCTCCACCACGTTTCCACACTGCCCCCTCCACCACGTTTCCACACTGCCCCCTCCACCACGTGTTTCCACCACTGCCCCCTCCACCACGTTTCCACACTGCCCCCTCCACCACGTTTCCACACTGCCCCCTCCACCACGTTTCCACACTGTCCCCTCCACCACGTTTCCACACTGCCCCCTCCGCCACGTTTCCACACTGCCCCCTCCGCCACGTTTCCACACTGTCCCCCTCCGCCACGTTTCCACACTGCCCCCTCCGCCACGTGTTTCCACCACTGCCCCCTCCGCCACGTTTCCACACTGCCCCCTCCACCACGTGTTTCCACCACTGCCCCCTCCGCCACGTGTTTCCACACTGCCCCCTCCGCCACGTTTCCACACTGTCCCCTCCGCCACGTTTCCACACTGCCCCCTCCACCACGTTTCCACACTGCCCCCTCCACCACGTTTCCACACTGCCCCCTCCACCACGTTTCCACACTGTCCCCTCCACCACGTTTCCACACTGCCCCCTCCACCACGTTTCCACACTGCCCCCTCCGCCACGTTTCCACACTGTCCCCTCCGCCACGTTTCCACACTGCCCCCTCCGCCACGTGTTTCCACCACTGCCCCCTCCACCACGTTTCCACACTGCCCCCTCCGCCACGTGTTTCCACCACTGCCCCCTCCGCCACGTGTTTCCACACTGCCCCCTCCGCCACGTTTCCACACTGCCCCCTCCACCACGTTTCCACACTGCCCCCTCCACCACGTGTTTCCACCACTGCCCCCTCCACCACGTGTTTCCACCACTGCCCCCTCCACCACGTTTCCACACTGCCCCCTCCACCACGTTTCCACACTGTCCCCTCCACCACGTTTCCACACTGCCCCCTCCACCACGTTTCCACACTGCCCCCTCCGCCACGTTTCCACACTGCCCCCTCCGCCACGTTTCCACACTGTCCCCTCCGCCACGTGTTTCCACCACTGCCCCCTCCGCCACGTGTTTCCACCACTGCCCCCTCCACCACGTTTCCACACTGCCCCCTCCGCCACGTGTTTCCACCACTGCCCCCTCCGCCACGTGTTTCCACACTGCCCCCTCCGCCACGTTTCCACACTGCCCCCTCCGCCACGTTTCCACACTGTCCCCTCCACGTTTCCACACTGCCCCCTCCACCACGTGTTTCCACCACTGCCCCCTCCGCCACGTGTTTCCACCACTGCCCCCTCCACCACGTTTCCACACTGCCCCCTCCGCCACGTTTCCACACTGCCCCCTCCACCACGTTTCCACACTGCCCCCTCCGCCACGTTTCCACACTGCCCCCTCCGCCACGTTTCCACACTGCCCCCTCCGCCACGTGTTTCCACACTGTCCCCTCCACCACGTGTTTCCACACTGTCCCCTCCACCACGTGTTTCCACACTGTCCCCTCCACCACGTTTCCACACTGCCCCCTCCACCACGTGTTTCCACCACTGCCCCCTCCACCACGTGTTTCCACACTGTCCCCTCCACCACGTTTCCACACTGCCCCCTCCACCACGTTTCCACACTGCCCCCTCCACCACGTGTTTCCACCACTGCCCCCTCCACCACGTTTCCACACTGTCCCCTCCACCACGTTTCCACACTGCCCCCTCCACCACGTGTTTCCACCACTGCCCCCTCCACCACGTTTCCACACTGCCCCCTCCACCATGTTTCCACCACTGCCCCCTCCACCACGTTTCCACACTGCCCCCTCCACGTTTCCACCACTGCCCACTGCCGTGTCCCACCACTGTCCGCTCCACCACATTTCCACACTGCCCCCTCCACCACGTTTCCACACTGCCCCCTCCGCCACGTTTCCACCACTGCCCCCTCCACCACGTTTCCCACTGCCCCCTCCACCACGTTTCCACACTGCCCCCTCCACCACGTTTCCACACTGCCCCCTCCGCCACGTGTTTCCACCACTGCCCCCTCCGCCACGTGTTTCCACACTGCCCCCTCCGCCACGTTTCCACACTGCCCCCTCCGCCACGTTTCCACCACTGCCCCCTCCACCACGTTTCCCACTGCCCCCTCCACCACGTTTCCACACTGCCCCCTCCGCCACGTTTCCACACTGCCCCCTCCGCCACGTTTCCACACTGCCCCCTCCACCACGTTTCCACACTGCCCCCTCCACCACGTTTCCCACTGCCCCCTCCGCCATGTTTCCCACTGTCCCCTCCGCCACGTTTCCCACTGCCCCCTCCGCCACGTTTCCCACTGCCCCCTCCACCACGTTTCCACACTGCCCCCTCCACCACGTTTCCACACTGCCCCCTCCACCACGTTTCCACACTGCCCCCTCCACCACGTTTCCACACTGTCCCCTCCACCACGTTTCCACACTGCCCCCTCCACCACGTTTCCACACTGCCCCCTCCACCACGTTTCCACACTGCCCCCTCCACCACGTTTCCACACTGCCCCCTCCACCACGTGTTTCCACCACTGCCCCCTCCACCACGTTTCCACACTGCCCCCTCCACCACGTTTCCACACTGCCCCCTCCGCCACGTTTCCACACTGCCCCCTCCACCACGTTTCCACACTGTCCCCTCCACCACGTTTCCACACTGCCCCCTCCACCACGTTTCCACCACTGCCCACTGCCGTGTCCCACCACTGTCCGCTCCACCACCTGTTTCCAGACAGCGCCATCAGATCCCCCCACAGTAACGAGCAAATTCATGGCTCTGGAGGAAATAAAACTAGGTCCTTCCTTTCCTGTTCCCTAGCGCTAACTTCACGAGACAGTGATAGAGGAACGTCCTGATCCCCTTGAGCACTAGCGTGGCCAATGAAGAAAGGTGAGTGAAAATCCCCGCGCTCGCTGTATCGATGCCTGTGGAATCACTTCCACACTGCCGCCGCTGCCAGCCACGGGGAGTCCTGAATGCGTGGAGGTAACTGGATGGCGGCACCCTCAGCACCGCGTTCAGGACAGAAGCTGTGCCTTCGCTAGTAGCGGCGGTGCGATGGTGGAGGGCCGCTGGCTTCACTCTGCGTCTTCTTCGCATTGTCTTGTCAGGAGGAGCCACTATCCAGTCCCAAGTGGGGGGGCGGGGGGGCGAGGTGGGGGATGGCGGAGGGCTGCTGGCTTCACTCTGCGTCTTCTTCGCATTGTCTTGTCAGGAGGAGCCACTGTCCGGTCCCAAGTGAGCCTGGCACTGCCCCTCCATGCGGTGTTTAAAACGCTTCCCTGGTGAGATGGGAACACTTCCTTTGTTCCCGTCTTTAAATTTAACTGCACAGTATTACCCCCACCAGTGAGGTGTTAAATCAAAACTGCCTTCCCTGGTGAGAAGAAAAACACTTGCTTTGTTTCCTTCCTTAAAATTAATTGAGGTTTTTCAAAAATGCATCCTACTCAACCAACAGTTGCATAGGAGGGGAGAAGAGACGGGATTTTTAAATGCTGCTTTCGATGGCTCCTCGAAGGTTTCCAGCACATTCTTTCTAAATGTCTAGACCCCTTCGCGAACGCTCTGCCGTCCTCTGCTTTCTCCCCTCCCCACTGCATTTTAGAGCATTGGTCTCACTGGTGTGACCCTTGGTAGGGAGTTAGCAGGAACCCGCTGGAATGAAGGAGTGACTCCATGAGCCCAGATATTCCTTAGGCGCCTGCAGATTTCCCAAAAGCCCACGCTCCGTATTCAATGGAGTTAAAGAAATTGCTTATTAAAATTAAAATTGGTCTCCAGGATTAATAACGAGGGGGTGCGATAGATTTGGCTAATGGTGCTCCCTGCCCCATTTTTCTCAGGGAGTCCAGAGGTGGCCCTAACTTTCCCAGGCATCTGGCTGGTCTTTGAGATGCAAGGCGCTCTGTGGTCACCGCCTTTTGCAAGGGGCAGCAGCATGGAGGAGAGAAAGAGGCAAAGTCTGGACTTCTACAGGTCAGAAGTCCACGTGGGCACAGAAGGAGATAAAGAACCAAGCCTCACCTTCCCCAGATAAACTCTCCAAAGGAAAGGGGAGGGGGGGAAACCGAGAGGATGAGACTGGGGGTGTTTCCCTGTGCAGTACCCCGGGTCTGCCACCTTACCCCCAACCTGGGCTTCAGAGGGAGGGGGCAAAGGGAAGGAGAGGTGAGGAAGGAGGATGAAAACCCCAGTCAGCTTGGGGGACCCTTGAGCAGGTGTGGCCCAGGCCTCACTCCCAGCAGGACCCGGGGAAGCCGCAGAGCACCCCTCCTCCGCGCAGGTGGCCTGGCGAGGAGAGATGTCTGCGGGGTGTCTGAGCTAGTGGACCTGAGAGAGCCTCAGAGAGCGCCTGCATCCAGCAGGGATGACGGCCAGTGGATGCTTACTACGCCTGGAGAGGCATGAGCACAGCAAGGAGAGTCCTCTGAGCTACAGAGGCCCCACTGCAGGGATGAGGGGGAAGCAGTGGCCTACAGGGACCTAAAGTCTAGGTCCATAGACGGACCCAAAACTGATAGGGGAGATGGCTATTTCAAGGGATGCCGGGCACTCCTCACCTCGACCCCCAGCTCCAGCCCCTGTGCTTCAACACTACAGGAGTTCCCTGGAAAGGATGCTCGAAATCCTGAAATGCAACTGGGTCTCCCCCCCCTCTTCGTGGAACTGGACTTTAAAACAGAAAATGAATTCCACCATAGAAAACAGCTACATGTCTCTGCACACCGTGGGTTCTGGACTGAGATTTGTGCCTGCTAAAACACAGTTCATTTGTAAAGGCGTTATTTTCATAAACCAAAGAACTAATCATCAAAACTGCATCATCTCTAATAACAAAAGCATAATATGCTAATTAGACCGGAAGAAGCCGGGGCTGCGAGGGAAGCCAGAGCCGGCAGCCACGGGAAGGAAGGTCTACTCTCGCACGAATTTTGTGCATCGGGCCTCTAGTTACCAAATAAAACCTAAAACACGTTTCTATAGTTCACTTATTGAATGTAAGCTATGTACCAGGTACTGACCTATCCTCTTTAATACACGACCTCTTTGACACGACCCCCATTTTACAATTACGACAATGAAGACTTAGAGAAGTTAAATAATTTGCCCAAGGCCACAATGGTGGTACAAAATGGAGCCAGAATTCAAACCCAGGAAGGTCTGATTCCTAAAGCAATACTGTTAACTAATGTAAGTGACACATGTCCACTCACCTGGCTTCCCAGCTCTCTCCACGAATACTTCTAGGTCCTCTGCTGCTCATAGTTCCAAGGCAATTGTTACCAAACCCAAGTAACTCTTCAAAGGACAAAATAAAAAACGTCAGAGTTTGGAGTAAGGAAAGGTTTATTGACCAAGAAGGTGCCAACTGAGAAGATGGGAGACTTAATGGTACCTCAGACCTATCTTGCTCGCTGGATGAGACTAAGGGATTTTAAGGGGTTAGGAGGAACAGGTACGGGGAAGTGCTGGTGGGGCAAGTTTTAGTTGAAGGACCTTGGAACTTGGCCATTTATGATAAAGAGTCATCAATACCAGATCTTCCTGGGCCGTGGACTCTGCTCCTGAAGGTTAAGTGCTGGTCCTTTAGCTTCTGTCCTGGTTGTGTTAGGGAGGGGGTGGGGAGTGGCAAGATTTTGGTTCTGGGTGCAGCAGGAGGTCAAAGTTCTCTCATCTGTGCAACCTCTGGTTACCTGACATGAGGTTGCAGTCTGTTATCTCTTAAAAGCAACTCAGTATCTTGTTAAACAGGATAAAACCATTCTGAGCTGGTTCTGTGGTTGCACAATCACACACTTGTACACAGAGCCCTAGAAAAACAAACACAAATGTCCTATCCTTCCTACTCCTAGTTTCCAAACTGCCCAATAACTAAGTGGTTTATTACTGTTGTAATTTTAGTGCCTGGACTTCAGTTCTAAAGATTTTTTAAAATTGATTTTGAGACAGAGAAGAAAGGAGGCAGGGGGAGGGGGAGAGGGGGAGAGGGGGGAGGGGGAGAGGGGGAGAGGGGGAGAGGGGGAGAGGGGGAGAGGGGGAGAGGGGGAGAGGGGGAGAAGGGGAGAGGGGGAGGGAAACACTGATGCAAGAGAGCAACACCCATAGGCTGCCTCCTGCACGGCCCCCATTGGGAATCAAACCGTTAACCTTTCAGTGCACTGGAGGATGCCCAACCGAGCCACACCGGTTGGGGAGCCTAGAGTTAACTCAGTTCCTATTTCTTTTGCAGCCACTACATCTTGTTAGTTAATCAAAATTCATTAAACTTCACCAAGGAGCAAAATGTGTCAGGAGATAAAATTCTAGACCAGAAGTCAGTAGACTACACTCCTTGGTTCCTCATGCTTCCCTTCCAATTGACCTTAGTCAATCACTTAACTGCTCTGACCTCAGTCTCCTCATCTATAAAATACACAGCCTTAAGGTCCCTACCAGTTCTAACTTCCCACGATTCTGACGAACCAGGATGAAGCTGTTATTTTATGGGAACTTAAACTGTAATTCTTCAAATCAGAACTCTTCTCTGATCTCCATCTGTATCTTTCTCCCAGATTTAAATCTCCCACGTTCTGGGATCAGGCACAGGTGAAGGGTTTCACAAAGGGATGGAAAGTACACTGAATAATATCTCATCTTGTTGGTATTAGGAGGAACATGAAGACTAAAAAGAAAAAATCGTTTTCAGGAAGGCTCTTCATATCCTAAATAATAAAAGCCTAAAATGCTAAGTGTCCAGTCATCTGGACAGTGACTGGGTCTACTGTTCAACCAAAGTGTAATACGCTAATGACATGCTAAGACCGCTCAACCACTTGCTATGACGTGCACTGGCCACCAGGGGGCAGATGCTCCAACCAGTAGGTTAGCTTGCTGCTGGGGTCCCAACCTATCAGGACTGAGCGAAATGGGCTGGACACGCCCTGGAGCCCTCCCTGACCCCGATTGTGCACTGGTGGGGTCCTTCGGCCTGGCCTGCGCCCTCTTGCAATCTGGGACCCCTCGGCGGATGTTGGAGAGCCGGTTTCATCCGGATCCCGTAGGCCATACCCCCCTCCTCCCCCCGCCCCCCCTCGCCATGCCAGGGCACCAGATACAGGGCTCTCAGCTGGTGAGTGCTGCTGCAGCAGGGTGAGCCTCTCTAGATAGGGACTGATTGGGTGCAAGCCCGCATCAGACACAGTGGGGCTGGGATGACTTCGGGTTTCAGCCCGATCCCTGCAGGCCACCCCAAGGGACCCCATCCCTGCACAAATTTGTGCACTGGGCCTCTAGTGACTATATAAAGAAACATAGCGCTATAAAAAGATTTTATAGCCACATTTTGGCTAAAATGTGGAGAAAAAGAAGTCATCCTGATAACAGACCCGCCCACAGGAGAATTGTCTTAGTCGTTTGAAATTGCTTCCTACCATCTGTTCTTGAAATACTTTTTCTGGTATTTGGTGACTTTTCTGTTCACATGGCTGTTATCTCCATTTCCTTGAGTGTAAATTCTTTGGTTTATTGAGTTTGTCATTTTCCTTGCATGATATTGACTGTACTCAGATGTTTTATTATTCTTAGGGTGTACCCATGACTCAGATCTGTACAATCAGAACATTTCATACCCTTGGTGTGAGTGTTTATTTAAGGGATACACATGACCCAACAAAACCAATCGATTTTTAACAGAACCTCAGACATTGGCAGAAACTCTCAGAAAAATAAATTCTGATGGACACATGCCATGCGTTGCTAGGAACCATTTTGCCACTCTGTAGGAAGAGCTTGCCCAAGATTGAAGCTAACGCAGAGAAAGCCAAGTCTGGAGATGAGGAGAAACAGGCTTCCTGATTTCAATATACTGTTTGAGTACCCGGAGCCCAGGCTACTCCCTGGACTGTCAGTAACAGCCAATAAACTCCCTTTTTATTTAAGCAGAAGCCATTTTAAATCATAATTTTTGTCACTTGTAACTGAAATAAATCAAACTAGAATTTGTAAACCTGTAGAGAAAGTCCATAGTTCTCTACTTCTTCACATCAGTAGGTACCCAAAGAGCCTTTCTAAAACTGAGGTAATCACTATGCCACAGGAAAAGAAGGTACAGGCATACCTCGGAGACACTGCCGGTTTGGTTCCAGAGCACTACGATAAAGTAAATATCGTAATAAAGTGAATCATAGGAATATTTTGGTTTCCCAGTGCACAGCAAAGTTCCTTTACACTATACTATCTATAGCCTATTAAGTATGCGACAGAATCATGTCTAAAAAACAATGTACATACCTTAATTAAAAAATACTTTATTTTCGGATTACATTGCCATTATTATAACTTAAAAAATAATTTTGAAATTCAGGCTCTATTTGCTCTCCATCCAAGGCAATGAAAACTATGGGTGGAGGCTACAGGGCAACAACAACAAAAGTGAGAACATTCTTGGTTTAAAACGCATGCCCAAGTAAGCCCTGGCCGGGTGGCTCAGTTGGTTGGAACATCATCCCCTGAACCTAAAAAAGGTCTCTACACATATGGGAGGCAGCAGATTCATGTTTTTTTTGTGTTTTTTTTTTTTGTTTGTTTGTTTTCTCTCTCTCTCTCTCTCCCTTCCTCTCTAAAAATCAATAAGAAAAAGAAAAAAATGAAAAAAAAAATCAGTAAGAACATATCATCAGGTGAGGATTAAAAAAAAAGCACAAATAACACCTAGGTATGTAATCATAGATTCTTTTACCTGATCTCCCCCCTGCCTAAGAATTCATGGAAGACCATAATATTTTCCATCTTAAATTGCATCTGAAGTTAAAGGGTTTCCTCATCCTTTCACCCCTCCAAAGTCTCAGCAATTTTCCCTGAAAAAGAAGAGCAAAAACTGAAGCAAAATCCCAAATTAAAAATGTTTGTTTTGCCTGTTCCTATGCCGTTTCTTTTGGCACAGCAGCAAAGTGGGCAATATGATTGTCACATCATACTGTAGTTGAATTTTTATTATTCCAGCATGTATACAGGGTGGGCAAAGGTCTACTCGAAAGTTTATTCTTGTATACATGTATTCTTAATGACTGTATTATTTGCCATATAAGCAACTGGAAACTACTTTTGCCCCACCCTGTATACATCACATGGCTTTTAGAAATTGTTACCTAAGTGACCATTTTTTTCTTGCTTATTCTAATTCAAGCACTTTTCAAAACCCACATTTAGTAAAAGGAAATGTTTCATTCCGTAATTTAAGATTATTACATAGCACCTACTGTAGCTTATTATTAACCTTGGGGGAGGCCCGGCGAGGGGCGGGGCTCCGGCCGCCCAGTGGCCGCCGCCTCCCGCATCTGAGGATCCCAGGCGCGCGGCCGGAAACCGCGAGGCACCTGGACGGCGGCGGGAGCCCCTGGAGCCGTCGCACGGGCGTCGGCCGCCCCCTCGGCAGGTTCCCTGCCCTCCGCCGGGACGCGGGAGGGCCCGGCGCGCGACGGGGGCGCGAGGTGGGGCTGGCGGGGGTGGCCAATGCGAAACTGGCTGGTGCTGCTGGGCCCGTGCGTGCTCGGGGCGGCGCTGCACCTCTGGCTGCGGCTGCGCTCCCCGCCGCCCGCGCGCGCCTCCGCCGAGTCCCCCGCAGAGCCGTTGGCCCCGTTTCCCCAGGGGAAACGCAGTCACTATGACGTGGTGGTTGGCGTGTTGTCCGCCCGCAGTAACCATGAGCTTCGAAGTGTGATCAGAAGCACCTGGCTGAAACATTCCCTCCAGCACCCCGCGCTCGGCCACCGGGTGCTGGTCAAGTTCATCATCGGCGCCCGGGGCTGCGAGGTGCCCGTGGAGGACCGGGAGGACCCCTACTCCTGCCGGCTGCTCAACATCTCGGACCCGGTCCTGAACCAGGAGATCGAGGCGTTCACTTTCCCCGAAGACCCGCCCTCGGGCCTCTCCAAGGACCGCGTGGTCAGCGTGAGCTTCCGCGTGCTGCACCCCATCGTGATCACCAGCCTCGGGGTGCTGGGCGGCGCCAGCGACGTGGGCTTCCAGAGGAACATCACCGTCAGGCTGTACCAGGCAGAGCAGGAGGAGGCCCTCTTCGTCGCTCGCTTTAGCCCCCCGAGCTGTGGGGTGCAGGTGAACAGACTGTGGTACAAGCCCGTGGAGCAGTTCGTCTTACCAGAGAGCTTTGAAGGTACAGTCGTGTGGGAGAGCCAAGACCTGCACGGCCTGGTGTCCACAGATCTCCACGGCGTGGCCATCAATGACGGGGGCGGAGTCCTCAGGGTCACCACGGCCGGGGAGGGTGCGTGGCCTCCTGAGCTCGCGGAAGGTGCGGAGGGCGTGGCCGGCGGCTTCATTTACACGATCCAGGAAGGTGATGCCCTCTTACAAAACCTCCACTCTCGCCCCGGCCGGCGCGCTGCCCACCTGAGGAGCCTCCGCGAGGAGGACGCCTTGCTGCAGGAGGAGAGCAGCCGCCACGGCGATATTGTCTTCGTGGACGTCGTCGACACCTACCGGAACGTCCCCGCGAAGCTGCTCAACTTCTATAAGTGGACCGTGGAAGCCACCAGCTTTGATTTGTTGCTGAAGACAGACGACGACTGCTACATAGACCTGGAAGCCGTGTTCACCAGGATCGCCCACAGGACCCTGCAGGGCCCGAGTGTCTGGTGGGGAAATTTCAGGCTGAACTGGGCCGTGGACCGGACGGGGAAGTGGCAGGAGCTGGAGTACCCGAGCCCTGCGTACCCTGCCTTTGCCTGCGGCTCGGGGTACGTGGTCTCCCGGGACATCGTCCACTGGCTGGCCAGCAACGCGGACAGGCTGAAGACCTACCAGGGTGAAGATGTGAGCATGGGCATATGGATGGCGGCCATAGGACCTAAGAGATACCAGGACAGCCTGTGGCTGTGCGAGAAGACCTGTGAAACGGGGATGCTGTCCTCCCCGCAGTACTCCCCGCGGGAGCTCGCGGACCTGTGGAGGCTGAAGGAGCTGTGCGGCGACCCTTGTCAGTGCGAGGCCAGATGAGGGCCTCGCGGGGAGGGGCTGGGCGTCTGCGGGAACTGAGAGCAGGTGCGGCCGGATGCGTGCTGAGTGCTCCCTCGGGAGCTCCAGGCGGGCTCTCCTGGACCCTCGTTGTGTCACTTCATGTTCGCAGTTTCCTCTTTAAGAATCAACCCTGATGCTGTAGCATAACAGAAACTGTATTTATGTATCGGGAGATTTGAAAAATACCAAATAGTTTATAAGTCCTGATGCATCGTTTCTAGTTAGCATTCACTAGCTATCATTTTTGGTTAAAAGTCGGCTTGTTCAGAAATCTTGAGTGACTGAGAGTTGGACTTTCAGCCTGGATTGCAGAATAGCTTCGTCTCGCACGATTAGGACAATTATATGGGCCGAAAAACTCACCGAAATGCTGTGCGATGCTGTGGTCGCTCTGAGCAGGAGTCACTTGTACCAAAGTGTGGGTTTCTGGAAATAACATCGCTTTCTGTGGATGTCTGAGCAAAGGGGGCAACTTAGACCTGGGGAAGAGCCCGATGAATTCTCAGGTCTGGACCTTGGTTTTAAAGTTCATTTATCATTAATGGACAAATGCACAGTTTTTTTTGCCATTTCACACAAATCCTGGGAGTCACAGTTTAGTACTCCTATTAAAAATGCGACATTTTTGTGAATATAAGTAAAATCAAATATTCTCAGGGTTTTAGTGCCAGAGGGAAGGATATTTTTAAATAGTTGACACTTTGAAAGAATTATGCTTTCCTGCTGTCATTGCCTAAAGTTTACCTAATATGAGTGAGATTTGATCAGTGCTGGGAATCGTTTACAGCAGAAGATAGGCTCCTATAGGGGTAACTGCGAGAGGAAGCATGTAACTAACTTTGAGAAGTGCTCTTACTCTGAGCACTGCGGTCGAGCAGAGTGATCGTAGCATGTCTGCTGTACACAGTGGAGGGTGTGCCCCTAAGTTTAAGGGACATTTCCCTAAATGACCAACCAAATCACTTTAGTAGCCTTTTAAACCAGTAGTATCAATAGAGGATTCCATTAAACTGGTCTTATGACAGACATGAACTGTGTTCAGATTTTATTAGACTAGCTAGGTTCTATTTAGTATTGGGATCTCCACATAATGAAATGCAGTCACGAACTATAAATATGAAATAAAATCAGAAAATCATTAGTTGGTACAAAGCCTTTATTGTCGCTATTATGTACAAGCCTAGAAACAGTCTCTTCCCTAAAGAAAGTACAGCCTCTGAGAGAACTGCTCCCGCAGGTCATTTCTTGCCGGTGGGCCCGGAACCACAGTCGTCTCTGAGCTGTGTGAGCTGCTGTCACCATCGCACCAGCAGGCAGTCTCCATTCTCCACAGAGTAGAACTGTAAGGACTGCTGGTCATTTTCTAGTTCAATCTCTCTGCCCGGCATCTAAAGTCAGAACAAAGGCTTGGGTGACTCAGACAGACCTGCCAGAGCGAATCACATGCCCCGCCCCAAGCCCGCGGAGTCAGCCCTGGAGGCTCAGTTGCACAGCTGCCACTGCTGTGGCCGGGCTGGCGGCTCCGGGCAGCTCACCTTGGGGCTCTCGTAGGCCAGCAGCAGGTCCGACACAGGGACCTTGAGGAGGCGGGACAGCAGCCCTTTCACCTTCTGAATCGTCATGGAGTCTGTCAAAGAGAAGCCCCCCGTGCTCTCAGGTGACAGTCACCTGTCGCAGGCGGTCAGTGCAGGACCGCAGACCCAGTGGCAGCTGAACTGTCACCTCAGAGGCCGGGGAGCAGACCCGGTCTGAGCACTCAGAGCCTGTGCTCGGCCCGTGTGCCCTGGTCAGCGAGTTTTCACACTATTTGGTGGCGTCTAATCCTCCCTCCCTCATCCCAGTCACCAGAAGTCAGGTTCTCTGCAGAGGATGATGTGAGGAAAATCATTAACTTCTCCTTTCAGTCTCTGTGGTTGTGATGCCCTAACTACAGACACTGCGGGGCCTCTGGAGGGAGGGGTGCCTACATGGTCTGCCGGGCCCTCCCCGCAGGCGGCCGGCAGCTACCACAGCGGGTCCCTGTGCTGGACACACGTACAGTGCCCACCAGGCCTGGGACGCAGCCTCAGGGAGTAAACGCTTCGGTTTGTTCAAAAAACACTATGTATGAACTTTTCTCCAAAGATAGTTGTGGTAAATATTGGCTATTTTGATGAGAAACACAGTTTCTTTGAAGCTTTAGCTGGAGGTACAGCAATAGTGTGGCGTTCCTACAAATATCACATGGATTCAAATATTTTTCTATCAAAAACCATTTTTGTAAAGGCTGTCTGTTTTTATGCAACTTGTGATAATAAATGTTCTTTATTTTAGAAAAAAAAAAAAAAAAAAAAAAAAAAACCTTAAAGTATACCTACACCTGAAATCGGAAACATACAGTCACCGAGCGGCAGTCAGCGCTAAGCGGGGACAGTACACAGGCCCTTTCCCACGCCGCCGCCCAGCTGCCGCGCCGCGGGCGTCACTGTTTCAGGAAACGTGCAGGACGTCCTGTCCTCGGCGCGGCGGGGTTCGACCAGGTCCACCCCCGGGGGGCAGCGGGGATCCACCCAGGGGGGCAGCGGGGATCCACGGGGGGGCGGGGTGGCACCGGGGATCCACCCCCGGGGGGCAGCGGGGGTCGCGGGCGGACTGCGGGGACCATGAACGCGACCCCGCGCGCCGAGGACGGTTGCAGACGGGCCCGCAGGGCCGCCCGGAGCGGGGCCGAGCGTTGAGCCGCATCATCTCAGCCATGACTGTTCCTTCCCGCGGACTCCACGCTCCGAACGCGCCGCCCGGGAGGCCTCGGAGCGCGTGGCCGGTCTCCCTCGGAAGCAGCGCCCGGAGCGCAGCCGGCGGGACCAGAAGAGGGAGGCGGTGTCATCACCCTCCGCCCGGAGACGCATGGGGGAAGGAGACCTGTGCAATACTTTAAACGAGGAGGGATTGACGTTAAAACAGAAAAAGAGATGGAGGCGGGCTTTGGGGTTGGCTCCGCTCAAAACCCGCGTCTCGGGCAGAGCGCACGGCCGAGGAGGGCTGGGCCCGGCCCGGCCGCTGCGGGAACCCGGCGCCGAGGCGGCCCGCGGGGAGGGCGGCGGAGCCCGCGGCGTCACAAAGCCGGCCGGACGCTCGGCCGTGCCCCGGTCGCGGCGCCTGGACCCGCGGGCGGCCCGTCTCCCCGCGCTCCGCCCCCCGCGCCCCGCCCCCAGGGAGCGCCCGCCGCCGCCGCCGGCGTCTCCGCGTCGCCGCAGCTCGCGCGCCGCAAAGCGTCCTGGGAGCGCCGCGCCGGAAGGACGCACGCGCTCGGCGGCGGCGAGGTTATAAAAGGGCCGGGGCCGGCGGCGGGCGGAAGTGGGCGGATCGGCGGCTCCGGCGCTGTTGTTTGGGGCCGGGACCTGCCGAGGGGCGTTCTCCCGAGGGCCGCCGGCGCCGGCCGCAGTGACAGGGCCGCTCGCCCGGCGCCCCCGCCCCGCTCCCGGCGCCGCGTCCGCTTGCGGCCTCCGCGACCTGCAGACCCAACATGGCGCAGGAGGTGTCGGAGTACCTGGGCCAGAACCCGCGGGCGGCCGCCTGGGTGGAGGCGCTGCGCGGCGACGGCGAGACGGACAAACACTGGCGCCACCGCCGGGAGTTCCTGCTCCGCAATGCCGGGGACCTGGCCCCCGCCGGCGGCGAGGCGCCCGCGACCCCCACGACCGCGGAGGAAGCTGCCGACGCCGAGAGCGGCCCCCGCCGGCGGCAGCTGCAGCAGCTCATCTCCTTCTCCATGGCCTGGGCCAACCACGTCTTCCTCGGGTGCCGGTGAGTGGGGGCGCGCCCCGAGCCGCTCTCCGGGTTTTGTCTGCAGCCTCGGGGCTGCGGGGCGGGGAAGTTGGGGAGCGCGGGAATGGCGGGGCCGCCTGCCCTCTAGGGTAGAAAGGGCGAACCTGCCGGAAGCCGACCTGCTGAGCCGTCTGTGGGTGCCCCCTTGGGTGGGGGGCGGAGGGTGCTGGCGGCGAGGTTGGCGGACAGCCCTCTCGTGGACCGGCCCTGAGTTGAAGGGGGACCCGGAGGGACCCGCCCCCTCCCTCCCCCCGGACGCTGGCGCACCCGTTTCTGAGGTTCCGGGAAGTGCCTGGCGGTTGGTGCCCGGTCCCCTTTCTCCATTGCAACCAGGAAGTGCCGTTCCTGTGGCCTGTTGGGCACCCCAAACGGGGCAGCTTGGGGGGAAACACCTCCTAACAGTGACTTTTCCTTCTTTTCCAGGTACCCCCCAAAAGTTATGGACAAAATACTTAGTATGGCCGAAGGCATCAAAGTGACAGATGCTCCAATCCATACCACACGAGACGAACTGGTTGCCAAGGTGAAGAAAAGAGGGATATCAAGTAGCAATGGTTAGCAGATCATAGATGTGAACATACATAGGAGTTGAGAACATAAGTTTGATGCCATTAGGAATTGTTACTACTTTTTGTAACGATCTGGAATTTACGTAATGTTAAAATCAAGTGAAATGTCAAAACTGAATCCTGTGTCTGTGTTTTAGCCTCTGCCTTTGATAAGTTTTCCTTTAACTGCTTTTAGATTTTGAAGTGTCAAATGTCTGTGTTGTTGATTTTTTAATGTTAGAAATGAATGATGCTCTTCGGTGCTGTTTAAGAAATTAATGAAGTTATTCTACGTGTTTTGTTTATTTTTAAATTAAGGGACCAGGGAAGGCTGCCTTTTTTTTTTTTTTTTTTTTTTAAATTGATTGTAGAGGGAGGGAGGGAGGGAGAGAGAAAGAGGAAAACATTCATCGGTTGCTGATCAGATCACACGCACCCTGACTGGGATCAAACCTGCAGCCTGAGACGTGCCCTGACCGGGAATCAAACCAGCCACCTTTTGATGTACTGGATGAAGCGCCAACCAACTAAACCACACCGGCCAAGGCTATGCCACCGTTCTAAAGAAACTACTGGTTCTGAAATATATTTGCCTTGTGCCTTTATTTTAATGAGTATCTGTCTTCTAAATTTTTAGCTGATGTGTATGAGGTGGACTAGTCACATATCTGTTTTCCTTTTTTCTTTTTTAGAAGGGGTAGAAGAGCCAACGAAAAAACGAGTTATAGAAGGAAATAATTCTGCAGTTGAGCAAGATCATGCAGAAATTTCTGCCAAAACAGAACATGCATCAGCTCAGCAGGAAAACAGCTCGGTGTGTACGGAGTCATCTGCCAAATCAGAGAGTGGTGGGAACTCCACTCGGAGCTCTGGCACCTCCGATCAGAGTAGCTCGACAAGTGATGGCGATCGGTCTGCTTCCAGCCAGAGCAGCATTTCCTCTCAGGTAACAGCAGCAGGGTCTGGAAAGGCTTCTGAGCCAGAAGCCCCAGATAAACAGGGTGCAGCGTCGATTGTTTCTTCCTTGTTGAAATCCAGTGTGAATAGTCATGTGACCCAGTCCCCTGATTCCAGTCAACAAAGTGGATCACCTAAAAAGAGCGCTCTGGAAGGCTCTTCCGTCTCAGCTTCTCCAAGCATCTCCGAGGTTGAGGTGCCCTTGTTGGGCTCCTCGGGAAGCGCAGAAGAAATAGAGTTGCCACTGTTGTCTTCTAAACCTAGTTCAGAGACAGCTTCAGGTGGGTTAACTCCCAAAACCAGTTCAGAGGCAAATGTTTCATCGTCGGTTTCGAAAAACAGTTCCTCATCAGGCACATCCTTACTAACTCCCAAGAGCAGCACATCAGTAACTACGTCAATGCTGACTTCCAAAAGCACTTCGCAGGTAGCTGCATCGCTATTAGCTTCTAAGAACAGCCCACAGACCAGTGGGTCTCTCGTTTCCAAAAGCACTTCGTTGGCAGGTGTGTCCCAACTGGCTTCTAAGAGTAGTTCTCAGACTAGCACATCCCAGTTGCCTTCTAAAAGTACTTCCCAGTCTAGTGAGAGTTCTGTCAGATTCTCTTGTTGCAAGTTAACCAATGAAGATGTGAAACAGAAGCAACCTTTTTTCAATCGACTGTATAAAACAGTGGCATGGAAGTTGGTAGCTGTTGGTGGCTTTAGTCCCAATGTGAATCACGGAGAGCTCTTAAACGCAGCTATTGAGGCTCTGAAAGCAACACTGGATGTGTTTTTTGTCCCGCTAAAAGAACTGGCAGATCTGCCTCAGAGTAAGAGCTCTCAAGAAAGTATTGTTTGTGAACTGAGATGCAAGTCTGTGTATTTGGGCACTGGATGTGGAAAAAGCAAAGAAAATGCAAAAGCAGTGGCATCAAGAGAAGCATTGAAGGTATTTCTCAAGAAAAAGGTGGTAGTAAAAATATGTAAAAGGAAGTACAGAGGCAGTGAAATAGAAGACCTAGTGCTCCTCGATGAAGAATCAAGGCCTGTCAACTTACCTCCAGCATTGAAACATCCTCAAGAATTACTATAATACATGCAAAGTATCACCGCATACAGTATCTGGTATTGGAAGAGAAAAACTGACTTTTGTATAATATAAACACAGGCTTTCACAAATTTTGTATTGCTTTTTTCCAGTTTTGCAGAAAATTTACATTCTAGTTCTCTTCACACAGTAGAAGTTGTAAATAACTTATGAATGACAGTACACATTAAAAGATAAGCAATAACAGCATACCAGTATGCTGTTTTATTTGCTGAGGGAAATACTGTCTTCTATTTTTAATGATGCATTAGGTACGGTGTGTAGTTCTGTAGAGTCTTAAAACTTTTGTACTGCTTTTGATTTGGTGAGAATATATTGTCTACCATGCTTTTTTTTCCCCCCTAGTGTAATAAACCTCCCACATCAAGAAAAGGGGACCATAGTATTTGAAAGTCTGAAGCTTAAGGTTTTAAGAATGTTGCCCATAATGTTGAACGTGTCTGTTAAATAATAAAAGGAAAAATAGTTGCCTCAGACTATTTTTATGAGGAGTTGTAAGCATTTTTTTAGATATAAAGTACTTAAGGTTATTTTATTCTGAGGTTGTTTAAAATTCATGCTTTTGACCACTGCAGATTCTTTAAGTGGGTTAATAATTTATGTTTTGAGGTAAAATACAATTTACACTTTTTCTTAAGACATAAATGTGGGTTTCTATATTAAACATATTTTGTGACTACTGCTATTAACAGATTGATTTGTTTAGATATTAAATGCTTTAAGCTATTTTACCTTTTCAAGAAGTTGTGTTTTTTTTCCCCTTAAGTCAGAATTCCTGCAAATAAGCTTCCTGCTACCAGTCATTGTAAATTAAAACCAAGTAGTTTTTCATAGCTGATATACAACTTTATGAATAGAGAAGGTACAGTTACCAGATCTAGAACTGGATAGTCTTCTGTTTACAAATCTTAATACTGGGAAGAATAGAGAGCCATGCTCAGCTCTCTAGTGAGCTTGTTCAATTGACATACCTTCATTAGTAATGAAATGGAATCCTGTTTTTGTGTCTTGGGTGATTCTAATTGTATTATTCCATTGTGGTAGATCATTTCATTTTTCTTCAAACTTTGGCCCAGGATGTCTCGTTATCTTTGTGGCTTTTCTTCTGGTTTTTGAGATACTGCAAATTGAGCAGTAACAGTGATAATGTAAGAGAAAAATCAAGATATGACCTTTCTCATGCCCATAATATTACCAGTAGAATAGTTAAACAGAACACAAGTAGCACGATTTAAATAAAAGATAAGGATACTTTATGTACTTGAAATAATCAGTTTTTATTTCACCAGATAACCTTTAAAAATGAATGACTCGAGAATGTTAAACTTGATATTAAAGTTATCTCCATATTCTATAAATGGGTTGTGAGAAGCAATAACATGAATGGTGGAAGCACTTTTAATTACCTCTCTTTCCTTATTCTTGGAATGTGTATTTTGTGGGATGATGATGGTCAGAAAAATGAGCCAAATATTACAAAGAATAAATTGCTATGACGTACCTAGGTAGTTTGGTAAGTTCCTAAATTGGCTCGTTTCAAGTTAACGTAAAGGTTATTGAAAATATTTTAAATTCTAGTAACGTTTTGATATGGTAGACTTGGAGGGAGCTGTTTAGTGTAAAAACAAATACTGTTGAATTTTTAAATGTTATTTGCTATCAACTTATTAAAAGCTTCAATCCCTTGAAATTTTTAAAGAATTCCTGATTTAAGAAAAATGCATACTTTATAATTCTTCAAGATAGTATAATGCAGAAGAAAGCAAACTTGGGAATCTGTTACTGAGAATCTAGGCTCCCTCTGCTGTAAAGTAGGACTAATAGCTGCCAGAGAGCACTGAAGATTAAGCAAGATGATATACTTACAAAGTTTTTGAAAATGCCCCTCAGACTGATTTTCAGCTAGGTAATTGTTAGTGACCACATCTTCAAATCTTCGGTCCCTTTAAATGAGTCACGTCATTTCAAGCAGCTGTTTATTAATGCTCCTTAGTACTTGCCTGTCTGGAATATTCTCAACTAGGGAATTATCCCTTATGGGTGCAGTTGAAGTTTGTTTTTAAAAAGTCCTAAAATAATTGTCAATCAGGTTTACTGAGTAAAATAGGTTATTAAGACAGGAAACTAAATTAAAAACAAGACAAGACAGTGTCCTGAGATTGATTTTTCTTAACATTGTTAAGGATTTTTTTTTTTTTTTTTTTAATGGTAAAGTTAGAAAGTTGGGCCCTAGCTGGTTTGGCTCAGTGGAGAGAGCATCAGCCTGCAGACTGAAGGGTCCCAGGTTCAATTCTGGTCAAGGGCACTTGCCGGGGTTTTGGCCTTGATCCTCAGTAGCGGGTGTGCAGGATGTAGCTGATCAATGGTTCTCTCATGTTTCTATCCCTTCCTCTCTGAAGTCAATAAAAATATATTTTTTAGAAAGTTGACTTTGAAGAATGGTGGTGTCGTGAGTTTTTAACCCAAATTCTTGGGGGCTGTTGGTGCTGCCATTGACTGGGATAACTGTCCTAAGGCTGTATCATTCCTACTTCCCATTCTCAATTCCTGCAGCACCTCTTTGGACTATGAGTAGGAGTGGGGTTAGCAACTAGGAGGTCCAGTGTAAATAGCCAGCTTCCTTCTGCAACAGATATTAGAGTGGATGTAGGGAGAAAGCCATCTGTTTACTACAAAATGAAATTAATATATTTTTTTTTAATTTTTTTACTTTTTAAAAAATAATTGATTTTTTACAGAGAGGAAGGGAGAGGGATAGAGAGTTAGAAACATCGATGAGAGAAACATCAATCAGCTGCCTATTGCACACACTCCACTAGGGATGTGCCCACAACCAAGGTACATGCCCTTGACCGGAATCGAACCTGGGACCCTTCAGTCCGCAGGCTGACGCTCTATCCACTGAGCCAAACCAGTCAGGGCAAAACTAATCTATTTTTAAGTAATAAGCCCTATTAGGATTTGTAATTAGTAGGGACTCAGATCAGGTTTAAGGGACCATTACATAAATTAACATTAAGTAACACTAAAAGCTACCATTCATTTTTAATTGTGAAATATAGGAGTCCATGAGGTCCATTTATATATATAGTCCAATAATTATTAGTTGAATGTCCATATAACATTTACATAGGTCAAAATAGAACTATCAGCACTTCAAGAACTCGCCTGTGAATAGCTACCGTTTATTGAATACCCACAGTATGTTGATGTTTTGCATGTGTTATTTAAGGCTTTCCAAAGCCTGCCGGGTGGGTTGGTATTGGTTGTGGGTTCAAATGAGGGAACTGATGACCATTATGAATTGTTTCCCTCAGTTCACAGAACTGGAACATATTGAAGAGAAGCCTGAACAATGACTTGGTTCTAATTTGGGGCACCGAATGTAAACATCAGTGAGACATGCTGTCCCGTATTTGTTTCCTGTATTGCAGAAAATAAGTGTAATTACACAGGAAATTTGGAAAAATTTTTATTTAAATTAGGAAGCTTCTAAAGAAGTAACTACTCACATAAGTATCTGAAATAATCATTGCAAAATATTTCCTAGACAGTCTACTTGTAGAATGCAAAGGGACAATTGACAGAAGCAATGAATGATACAGTCAAAGATGTAATCAATAGTTGAAACAATCCTCATTGCTCTTCACCATTTGCTTATTAAATACTTTTCTACACTAGCTAAGGAAGACATGGTTCATGTGAAATCAAAACTAGTAGAGGTCCATGGAGGCATTTATAGTTTATCTGCATTGTGGTGGAGGACCATACTTAATGAGGGAGTTAGTTATCACACATAATAACCTGCAGTTGGAAATCAATATGGGGTAAAGCACCTTTCTGTACTCATGTTTCAAAACTGAATAAATGCAATTAACAAGAGAAATCTCTATATAAAAGCCCAGTGACCGGAAAGGCAGAACAACTGGAACGATGATGGCTATTATGCACACTGCGGCAGCCAACCAGCCTGATCCGGGCCCCAATCCCCTCCCCCCAATTGGCCCCCAAAGCCCCAATTAGGGGTGGGGCCGCTGGCCAACCACCCTCAGCCCCTACCCTCCTCTGGCCTGGCCCAATGGGCCCCCATTGGGGCGGGCCTGCTGGGCCCCACCCGTGCACGAATTCGTGCACCAGGCCTCTAGTAAGTAAAATAAGAATACTATTTTGAAATTATTTATTCCTTTCCCCTGTAATTGACATTTGTTAGCAGTCATTTCCTATTATGACTCATATAGGAAAAGAAAGAAGGATAATGTGACTACAGAAGTCCATACCAGAGATAGTGAGGAAGTCAAAGTCCACTCATTCCAGCCTGGGAGATTTTGAGAAGGTAAAGAAGGGAAGCAGGCATTTGAGATGGTGGGTCCTGACTTTACAGCATGAACTTCACTTGTGTCAGAATCGCAGTGGTGGGAGTACTGACAATTTTCATTTAATGAGCCTGCCTGGTTTACCCCAACTATAAACAATGCATCACTCTAGGAGGGTCCTAGAGAACAAGGAAGAGGCTGGAGTAAGAAATACTGAAGGCATCCGGAACTTAAACACAGCCATTGAGTTGCACAACACCAGGGGGCACCATTCACATGAAATATAACAGATATCATTTGATACGATGGAAAATGTCCCTTGGAGTTTGGGAATCCCTGCAATTGCTGTATGAGTAAACTTCTTAGAAAAATCTTACTTTTAAAAAGTAATTTGAGCCCAGCCAGCATGGCTCAATGGTTGAGCATTGACCTATGAACCAGGAGGTCACAGTTCAATTCCTGGTCAGGGCACATGCCCAGGTTGCAGGCTCGATCCCCAGTGGGGGGCGTGCAGGAAGTGGCTGATCAATGATTCTCATCATTGATGTTTCTATATCTCCCACTCCCTTCCTCTCTGAAATCAATCCTATATAATAAAGAGGGAATATGCAAATTGACCATCTCTTTGCCACAAAGATGGCAGTGCCCACAGTGGAGGCAGGGGTTTCCGTAACACAAGATGGCGGCACCCACAGTGGAGGCCGAGTTCCCATAACGAGCCTTAACAAGCAGTCAGAAAGGACCTGAGGCTGTGCCATCCTCCCCGCACCCGTGGGGCTTGATAGGGGACCTCAGGCCACACACCCCCCCACCCTGGCGCCAGGCCGGGGGACCTCAGGTTGCGCCCCCCCACCCGGCAGGGCTTGACAAGGGTGGGACGGCCAGGTCTGAATCTAGCCAATGGGGGGAGGGCGGCTGGGTCTGGGTCTTGCGCGATTTTGAGGCACACGTGGGTGGGTGGGAACTTGACTCTGGGTCCCGTGGTGCGCCCTGGACTCTGACAGGAGGAACATTTTCATATACATTTCACTAATTTTTTTTCATCTTTGACACTTCTTTTATAGAGAAAGGGCAAATAGCAATGTTAAAATATTTCCTCTAATTAATCCCCTTTTAATGTGCATGAATTTCATGCACCGGGCCACTAGTAACAATATATAAAGTAATTTGAATTATAAATAGTGGTGGTTCTGTGAAGCATGGGTAGCATATAAAGTCTAACAAACTTCTTGGAGGTGGCATATGCTGAAGTTATTTGTTGATGCTGGGGGCACTATAAATGCTCAATAACGAATTACTTTTTCCAACATTCTTCTATATAGGGAATTATTTCAAGACAACAGCCTAAAATAAAATTATTTCAAGTGAAGTAAGGCTGCTTGGGTTAGGTTAAGGATTTTTTTCTCTACTCAGACCTTGGGGGAATT